TCTGTGACTGTGGTCAGCATCTTTAAACTGGAGGTTGAGGAGGGCAGTGTCCTGCAGTTGACAGAGGCCACCCAGTGGAGTGAGGTGAGTCCAGGGGGTCTGTGTGCCTGGTGCTCTGAATACAATGCAGGGAATGGCCGAGTTTTTTCATTGCAGTGTATTACCCTGGTGACCCAGTGAGTAAATGAGTCATAGGAACCAAATCTCTGGGATTCTTCTGCTGCTCCCTTAGGGATCCCTTTCTGGAGAGGCTTCTTATCCCCCTGTTGTTGGGTCTGCCTGGGGTGGCTCATGAAGAATAGTGGGTGGGGAGGACTAGCTGGGGGATTCAGAAAAGAAGGATGTCCTTTTCCCCCAGAGCCTCCTGGAGGTCATCCAGGCCCACCATGTTCCTGTCTCATTGTGGATTCTGATTGGCAGTGTCCTAGGAGGGCTCTTATTATTGGCCCTCATAGTTTTTTGCCTTTGGAAGGTGAGTACTGTTCTGTGGGAGATTGGAGGGGTGGGGAGATTGTTTCTGGGTGTGTAGGGGATCACAAGAAGACAGGAGGACAAGATCATGTTTAGAGCTGCCAGGCCCTTTGAGGCCAAATAGTCCAACTCCTTCACCTTACAGGTGAGGAAACTGAGGCCCCTAAAAGTTAAATGATTGGCCCAGGGTCACACAGGTGGCAGAAACAGGATTTCAACTCAAGTTCTCAAACTCCAAATCCAGCCTTCTTTGCAACGTACCTTGCTGACTCTCTAGGGGTCTAAGGTTTAATGGATAGGGCAGAAGCAGAGGAAAAGGTCTGGGTAGCTGATGGGTAGACTTGTGCATTTTGCACCATTCTCTCAAATAAGAAAGTAGCCTGTGGTCATGCCCCAAGGTTGTGAGTAAAGGAAGACTTTGGGAAATATAACAGCTCTCATCACCTCTCCGGTATAGCTTGGATTCTTTGCCCGAAAGAAAGCACCTGAAGAAGATGGAAATGAGAAAGTGGATCAGTGAAGCTGGAAGAAGACCCCCTGAATGGCTCTTCTGCAGTGGTTCCTAGAGACTTGAATGAGAGCCCAGGTGGGACAAGAGGAGTCCCATGGTCCTCCCCTCCAGACTCTGCACCCCAGTCTGACTTCTGTGTCCTAGGGAATACTTCTGTCAAGAATTGAGGCCCAGCCTCAGGCAAGAAAAATTGGCACCACAGTCCTTCCCAGCCCGTCTGTGCCCCGTCTCTCCCTGGTGATCCTGCTCATGAGGCCGGCACCACAGCCTTTGCTTGGCAGCTTCTTCTCTACCATTCCCAGGGGCCAGGGTTCCCTGGAGTCAAAAGACTTCTGCGCAGACCTCCGGACTGGGCGAGACTTCTCTCTCTTTTCTTTTTCTCCCCTCATCCCCACCCCATTTGGAAATGATAGGGCTTAGCCTCATCCCTACCCCACCCCCTCACCTTCGTGCCTTCCTCCCCGACACCCCACCGGAGGAGCTGACGTGGGCTTCACCGAAGTAAAGTCAACATCTGCTGCTTTCCTGTGGAGTCTAGTGATTCAGAGAGCCCGATGGAGAGTCAACAGGAAGAAAGGAGGGAGGGGAAAAAGCCACAAGAGACGTTCTGTGCGAGGCCAAGGAACAGAAGAGCCTTTAGAAGGGCAGATTGACACCCCCCTGAAACCCGAGCCAGCCCTCAGGTGCTGGGGGGGGGGGCCGGGCTGCCCCCTGCTTCGCCCACTTCCCCCTTTCCCTGAGTGAAGCCTGGCTTGCCTCCGTGGTTTCTGGGGGCCAGGAGCCTCCACGTGGCTGTTTCTGGGATCGCCAAGCTCCCTACCGGCTGGGATGCAATGTGGGAGGCAGACACAAATGTCGCATTCCTGCCTGGCCGTTTATGGGGGTCCTCTCCCAAAATCCAGGGTGGTGATAGGTTCTTGGTGCTGGCCAGCTACTCAGCAACCCCCTACCCTAGAGGGCAGGGAGCACCACTGGACTGGACTGAGTGAGGTCCGCCCCCCAGGGAGAAGTAGAAGTGGGTGGAGTGAAGTCACTAGGAAGCAAGCCCTCACTTGCTCTGGGAGTGTTGTTTGTGCAGCCTAGTTTTCTCCTTGGGAAATGTTTCCAGGGCACCCAGGCCACCCTCCCCCTAGCCCCCAGCCGCCCGTCAGAGGGCTCCTTTGTTAGAAGTAGTCTGCCGGCCAGAGGGATTCCTAAACTTACCTTTCATTCCCTCTGTTCCCCTCAGATTGTTCCTTCTTAGCCAGCCATGGGGGTGGGCTTCCTCTTAATAAATGAGTAACCATTTGCTATGGAGACAGGACTCTGGAGACAGGACTCTGGAGACCGACTAAATCAGCTATTACTGCATGTCCCACCTCATTTGAACACTCCCACACCAGTTAAAGGGAAAAACATAAGATGGTCAGTAGCCATAGCACTTGTCCCATAGTCTTTCCTTGAGGGCAGTGGGGCTCCTGGGTGTCTAAGCCATCTTGAAATATCTTTATCTACCCCTCTTGCCTTCACTGTCATCTCCTTCCTTCTTCCTCTGACCATCCACAATAGCACGGCAGAGGATCATCATCTTGGTTAGTACTTCTGCTTCTCCAGCTGATCTGGGCCAACAATCCATCTCAGTGTCTGGGCATCATTTGATTGAAACAAATAAAGTTGTGTTTAAAAGAATACCAGTTCAGGCCACATTCTCTGGAATAAGCTATTGGAGGGTTGAATCAGTGTGTGTGGAGGGATGAGAAGATGTGGAGATTATTGGACTGAGTGGTGGTCCCAGACCGGGGAGTCCAAATGGACTCTGGCAGGCAGGGCAAGTCCTAGAAAAATGTATTCATGAAGTAGGAGGTTAGCTATAGAGACCCCTGTAAACTTCTCCACATAGACAGGCCCCACCATCCAGAGTTCACCTTCCTGTCCTGTATCCTTATCCTACCCTCACCTAGCTGTCATGAGATAGGCTTGTCACATTTCTCTGCCTGCTATCCACTGACATGTACTTCTGTAAAGCCTTTTCACTTGTTCCAAGGTCACAGCTCATCTGATAAATAAATTCATGATAATAGCAGAAGACTAGAAGAGATCTCTGTCCCAATAACCCCTTCCACTTCTTCCTCTCCCACGTAATAGATAAGCATTTTTATAGCAACCTTCCAGAGACAGACCATTACTTTTGCTGCCTTTTCTAATGATGGTTTTAATTAATAAGCACCTATGTTCTACAAGCACCAACCCAAAAGAAGTGGCTCTAAAGATGAGACTTTAAGGTCAGATGAGAAGGAGTTAGGGTTAGGAATTCATAATTGGTAGGAAATTCATCCTCATTCCTTTTGCAGTTTATACCCATTAATACTAATTGTTCCCTTTAGTGCCAAATAATCAATTAACGTTTGTTAAGCACGTGACGTGTACCAGTCACTGAGCTAGGAGCTGGGGATAAAAGGGCAAAAGTGAGCTCGTCCCTGCCCTCAAAAGCTTGCATTCTATCTAGAGAGACTTGTTACACCTGTAGGATGTCCTAAAACTCTTATTTAAGCTTTAGTAAGCTTAAACCTACACTAAGATTTTTGCAACACCCCGTGTGAGCAGATACAAAATAATAGAAGATAATTAGTGGGGAGCAGCTTTGTGAGACGAGCCTTAAAGGAAACAGGATCTAAGAGGCGGAGATGGGCAGGCAGAGTGTGCATTCCAGACATAGGGGTGCAGCCAATGCAGCAAAGATGCGGAAAGGAGAATGGGTGTTACTTTTAAGAAACAGGAAAAAGGCCAAACTCAGCTGTAGCAGTGTCTGTGAAAGGACGTTTCCTGGCTTTTAGTCCTAACTAAAATCCTATCTTTCAGAAGAAGTCTTCCTCTCCCCTTCTGCTCGACTCTAGGGCCTTTTCTGTTAATTATTTCCTATTTATCCTGTATATAGCTTGCTTTGTATATATTTGTTTGCTTATTGCCTCTTCTGTTAGATTGTAAACTCCTTGAGGGCAGAGCCTGTCTTTTGCCTCTTTTTCTGGATGTGTTCCACTTTATCAATGAGCTTCCAAAAATGTGGCATCCAAAACTGAATACACCACTCTGACCAGGTCAACCAGAATGTAACTCTGGCTATGGTTTGACCAAGAAAGAGTGCAAAAACATTATCACCTCCTTTGCTGTAGACTCTTTACATTTATTAATTTAGCAGCCCAGGATCATACTAGCTTTTTTTTTTTTGAAGGGGAGGGGTGCTATGGCACATTGTTGAGCTTGTAATTCATGGCCTAATGGGAAGTCTATATGGGAAATCAGCCCCAGAAATATGAGTACCTCTTAAAAAATGACATTCTAAAGACCCAAATAGAAAAAAATTCTGGTGATGGGCGATTGTTTTTTCCCACTTAATAGTATATTTTCCAATTACATGTAAAGATAATTTTCAACATTCATTTTTTTATAAGATTTTGAGTTTCAAATTTTTTGCTCTCCCTCCCTCCTATCCTTCCTCCTCTCCTTTCCCCCCTCCACCCCGGGGGTTGTCTCCAGTTGTCCTGATCTATATCTTGCCACTGGACCCAGATGGCTCTGGAGGTGAAAGGGAGGCTGGTAACCTTGCACAGCTTCCTTCACTTAAATCCAATTCATTTGCAAGTCACGGCATCATCTTCTTGATGTCATGGTCCTCTTTGAGAACGAAGGACAAACAACTCCCTTCCCCAAGATCACAAGCAATCTGATGTAGGTTATACATACACAATTACACTACACATATTTCTACATTAGTCATGTTGTGAAAGAAGAATCAGAACAAAAGGGAAAAGCCACAGGAAAGAAAAAGCAAAAAACAAACTAAAGTGAAAATAGTATGATTTGATCTGCTTTCAGACTCCATAGTTCTTTCTCTGGATGTGGACAGTATTTTGCATTGAGTCTTTTGGAATTGTCTAGATCATTGCATTGCTGAGAAGAGCTAAGTCTGTCATAGTTGATCATCACACAATGTTGCTGTTACTGTGTACAGTGTTCTCCTGGTCCTGCTCACTTCATTCAGCATCAGTTCATGTAAGTCCAGGTTTTTCTGAAATCCCCCTACTTGTCATTTCTTACAGCACAGTAGTATTCTATTACATTGGTATACCACAACTTGTTTAGCTATTCCCTAAATGATGGGCATCCCCCTCAAGGTCCAATTCTTAGCTACTACAAAAAGAACTGTTATAAATATTTTTGTACAAATAGGTTCTTCCCCCTCCCCTTTTTCAAAATCTCTTTGAGATACAGACCTACTAGTGATATTGCTGGATCAAAGGGAATGCACAATTTTATAGCCCTCCAGGCATAGTTCCAAATTGCTCTCCAGAATGGTTGGATCAGTTCACAATTCCACCAACAGTACATTAGTGTCCCAGTTTTCTGAATCCCCTCTAACATTTAAAATTTTCCTTTCCTGTCATATTAGCCAACTCATAGGTGTGAGGTGGTACCTCAGTTGTTTTAATTTGCATTTCTCTAATCAATAGTGATTTAGAGCATTTTTTCATAGGACTATAGAAAGCTTTAATTTCTTCATTTGAAAACTGCCTGTTTGTATCTTTTGACCATTTATCAATTGAGGAATGGTTTGTATTTTGATAAATTTGATTCAGTTCTCTGTATATTTTAGAAATGAGGCCTTTATCAGAGACACTGGGTATAAAAATTTTTTCCCAGCTTTCTGCTTCCCTTCTCACCTTGGCTGCACTGGTTTCGTTTGTGTAAAGCCATTTTAATTTAAGTAATCAAAATTATCCATTTTATGTTTCATAATGTTTTCTATCTCTTGTTTGGTCACAAATTCTTCCCTTCTCCATAGATCTGACAGGTAAACTATTCCTAGCTCTCCTAATTTGCTTATGGTATCACCCTTTATGTCTAAATCATGTACCCATTTTGACTGAGGAATTGTTTAAAGAGATAAATGTAGACATATGGGGACCTCAATAACCAGCTTTTGTGTATATATACATATATATATATGTATATATATATATGTATATATATATATGTATATATATATATATATAATATATATATATATATATATATATATATATATATATATATATATATTTAATTTGTTTTGGGCCTGTTGTGCATTTAAAAAAATTATCGATATCCTTTGTTGGCCAACTTTTCTTTTTAAAAGTGTGCAAAAACTCAAGCAAAGTTGGTGATGACAGATAAATACCAAAACATGGTATGTTCATGAAAGAATTATGTCAAGAAAGCTAAAGAATGAAACGCTTAGCATACAACATTGTGTTTTTTGTTTTAAGCTATAATTGGAACCACTTTGGGCTGATTCCCTATATTGCGTTTATAGGTGGACATGGACAAGAATTCCACAGGATGGTCAGGAATGAATGAGTTTCAATCTGCATTGTTGAAGTCAATGAGATCACCAGTCTAGTTGAATATTGAAAATAAGCAAACCTGAGGAAACACTGTTCTGGGTGGATGGGACAGTGTTAATAGAGGAAGGAAAGAAGGCAATTGTTTGATTCTTGGAAATCATAAAATCAGAACTGACCTTAAAAGTTATTTAATTGAACCCCTTTCTGTTTTATAGAGGAGGAATCTGAGGCCCAAGTTCACATCTGTGGCAGTGGCAGAGCTGGAATTCTAACCGAGGTCCTTGACTCAAAAGCCAGAGCTCCTTCTACATTATCACACTCTCTTGCTATTTTGTTTTTGTTTTCTCTGCCAAAGAGAATGATCTTTGGACTAGAAAAGAAGAAACAAAAATGGCAGATAGATAGCTGGAACCCAAGGCACATAAGAAAATAATGAGAACAGCCTTTAATGAGCTCAAATCACCAGGCTCAGAGGAATTACATCCCATGGTACTGAAGAACTTGTCAGATGTCGTGGCTGAGCTACTAATCAATCTTTGAAAGATCATGGAGGGTTCCTTCTGCTGGCTGCCATTGGGCCTACAGTAGCGCCGCAGCCATGGCCATCCGATATCCCATGGCCATAGGCCTCAACAAAGGCCACAAAGTTACCAAAAACATTTCCAAGCCACGACACTGCCGCCGCCGTGGGCGCTTGACCAAACACACTGAGTTTGTGAGAGATATGATCCGGGAGGTGTGTGGATTTGCCCCTTATGAGAGGTGGGCCATGGAATTGTTAAAGGTCTCCAAGGATAAGTTCATCAAAAAAAGGGTGGGAACTCACATCCAGGCCAAGAGGAAGAGAGAGGAGCTCAGCAACGTCCTAGCTGCCATAAGGAAGGCTGCTGCCAAGAAAGACTAAGCTGGACCCTGTCAACCTTCCCCACTTATCCAATAAAGATTGGACAAATAAAAAAATTTAAAAAAAAAAGATCATGGCGGAAGAAGAAAAGTGGTTCAGGATTGGAAAAAGTGCAAATATCTCCATTTTCAAAAATAAGGAAAAATAAATTAAATTAGAGCATCCAAACTCCAGTAATATTAGCTTTGTATAACAGTGTATGTGTGTGTGTGGGGGGGAGAGGGTTCTATTGAATAAATCAACCATCAACCCCCCACCCAAGTGAAATAACTAATAAGCTCTAAACTTTGATCCATCTATAAGAACCTAACTCAGTTGAATCAGAGGTATGAATTAGGTGTGAACAAGACCCAGATCAATGTCTAAGACTTTAGACTAGGCTCAAAGTCTTTTATCAATTGGGAGGTCTTGAAAGCCATTGGATAAAGTGGATTGAAGGTGCTCAGGAAGTCTATTTGAATTGGTTAAGGAGACTTAATCATACCTCATGAACCTGACATGAACCCAACAAAGTTAGTTTGGGATTGAGTGTCTTGTCTGACATTACAGAAGAGAAGGCATCCCAGCCAAGCACCTGAAAAAAATCAAGTTGATTCTACTTCATATTTTATAGCTGGTATTTTTATTTGTATTACCGCTGACATTTTTATAACTGCCTAAGGCATGTCTTATTGTCTCTGAGTTAAGTTTAGAAGTTCAGCTTTCCTGAAAATTACTCTTTGTCTCTAAGTTAAGTTTAAAATTTCATTTTTTTCCCTATGAAATCAATGTTCTATTCTTATTTCAAGGAAATCTGTTATCTCTCTCCCACTAGCTGTCCTTCAAGGAAGTCTGCTCTGTTATCTCTGGCCTTCAAGGAAGCCTGGTTTGTTATCCATGTACCACTAACTAACCTTGCAGGTGGAAAAAACCAATCAGCAGCAAGATTGTGGTTGATAACTCCAAATACCCTCCAGCCAATCATATTGTTTTCCCTAACTATGACGCTACAGGGGCAGCTAGATGGCACAGTGGATAGAGTGCCAGGCCTGGAGTCAGGAAGACTCATCTTCCTGATTTCAAATATGGCTTCAGACACTTTCTAGCTGTGTGACCCTGGGCAAGTCACTCATCCCTGTTTATCTCAGTTTCCTCATCTGCAAAATGAGCTGGAGAAGGAAATGGCAAACCATTCCAGTATCTTTGCCCTAAAAACCCCAGATGGGATCATGAAGAGTTGGACACAACTGAAAAATGACTGAACAACAAAAATGATGCTAACCAATCATACTGTTTTCCCCATCTATGATGCTACCTTTTACTGTGGGTGTTTTTCCTTTTGTCTATAAAAAAGATCTGTAAGCCCCACCTCAGTACCTTAGCTATTGCTGAGGAGGCCAATACCCAGTTTGTTGGCAAATTTGTGCTTCGCTAATAAATTAATCATACTCAGGACTTTGTGCCTCGGTTTACCTTAATTTCAATCATGACATACTTTGCTTGAAGGCGAGGAGAGAAGCAAGTCTTGATCTCATCCCAGACCCACTTTGACCACTTGAGGACTTTGTGAACTTGGAGGGTTAGAGGCTTCAGATTTCTAATTCATCTTCTTAGCAATTTTTCTAGAACAGCAGCAACTGACAGACTGAGGAAAGGCAACTTCAAAGATTCTACAAGGAAATCATCAGAAAGAGTACACTCCAAGGGCAGCTAGGTGGTGCAGTGGATAGAGCACCGGCTCTGGATTCAGGAGGACCTGAGTTCAAATCCAGCCTCAGACACATCACACTCACTAGCTGTGTGACCCTGGGCAAGTCACTGAGCCCCATTGCCTAATGAAAAAACAAAAAACAAAAAAAGAAAGAGTACACCCCACCTAAAGGGGAAATATTTTGGACTCCAGAAAAAGGACTTCTAGGAACTATGAATTGCCCCTTAGACACATGTATTCTTCAAGCTTGGGACCATTCTCTCTCTGTTTCCCTCTCTCTCTCTCTCTCTCTCTCTCTCTCTCTCTCTCTCTCTTTCGGCAGGGTCTATCACAGATTTTCTAAGGATGTTTTATACCAAATATTTTTACCGTAGCACCTTATACCATTTCCTAAAAGCTAATTAAATCTGGCTGACTGAAGTCAACTGGTAATCATTGGGTGAATCATGCTGATATGGGCTTGGAAGCATTCAAGACTACCCCCTAGAACTATGAGCACACATGTAGTAGCCATCCTTTGAAGACCTGAATTGCTCTTTTAAGTGGGGGTTAGAATGGTTGGAATAGTTGCCTCAGAGCATGTGCTACACTAGCAAAATTCTAGAACGTAATGTTAAAAGTAATAAATATTAAAGATGTCAGCAAACATGCAGAAAAGGAAAGGGAGAAGCATGTCTCTGCTTGGTTTCAACTCCACAATCATCGTGCTCCATTCCCACCCCCCAGGATAAGCTCATCACCTGGCATTTCATCATCAAGGAGGCTGATTCACGTTTAATACTACATACACCTCCTCAGCACCTTCAGTTGCCTCTTTCCTGTGATGGGTGGGCTGAGCAATAAATTCCTCCCAAAGCCTCCCTATTCTGAGCTCTACAAAGAGAGTTCAGAATTTTCCATCAAACTTCATTTCATATCAGCCCCTCTTCTTCTTGGTTTTGATTCTAAGAACATCATGCCATCATCTTGGGTACCTTCTGGTGCCACACCCTCTTTTCATCTTCCTTTTGTGCATTGCCATCCCCCATTAGATTGTAACCTCCTTGAGGATAGGGCAGTCTTTTTCTAATTTGAACCCCCGGTGCTTAGCACAGTGCCTGGCACATAGTAGGTACTTAATAAATGCTTATTGACTCTTTACTGGCTTAATCAAGAATGTGATACCACAGACATTTCTGCTCATGGCCAGTGTGTTGATTTGTCATGCTTGACTATGCTTATTTGCTCCAAAGAGAAGTTGTTTGTTTTTTTTTTTTTAATTTGGAAGGAAGAGGTTAATGATAAGCAAAAAAGAAGGAATCCAGGAAAACGAGGTCATTGAGACATTTATGAGAATGCACAGGAGAGAACAGAAGAAAATTCAGAGAGACACAAACTGGATACCTTTGAAATTCATATTGAATTAATCTTGTCCACAAGAAAGATGTGACTTTAGAAAAAAAAACTATTTTCCTTTTCTTTGTATATGGAAATGGTTGTTTGTTTGTATTTGTCATATCCAGAATAACAAAAAATAAAAAAGATTAAAGTAAAAAACAAAAACAACACCCAACCCAAGCCAGGTCATGCCAGATTAGACTCATTTTGTTTGTTGACAAGGTCATTGGACCAGGGCGATGTTGTAAGATTCTTTACCTAGGCTTCAGTAAAACTTTTGACAAAGTTTCTTATGCTATCCTTTGAACAAGATGGAGATATATGGACTTGAAGAGAATGTAGTTGAGTGGTTTCAAAACTGATTGAATGACTAGACCTAAAGGGCAGCTATTAATGGCTCAAAGTTAACTTGTGAGAAGGTTTCCAGTGAAGTGCACCCAGCCAAATCTGTCCTTGGCCTTGTACTGTATAATTTCTTTTATAAATCAGTGATTTGGATAAAGCCATTCATAGCCATAGCATACTTATTAAAATCTCAAATGTTACAAAACTTGGAGGGATAGCTAACTATTAGAAAAAGTAGAATGGGCTCCTTTGGGGTTTGGTGGTTTTCTCCTTCATTAGAGGTTTTTGAAGGACAGAATATCATAGAAGAGCCTCTAAGTTAGCTATGAGTTGGACTAGATGGCTTCTGATATCTTTTTTAACTCTCAGATTTTGTAAAAACTCTTTCACATGAACTCTTTACCTTGGGGTCCCATAGAAATAGAGGGGGAATTTGAACCCAAGGCCCCAGATCTTTCCATTGGACTGGCTCTCCTTTACCCAGATTGGGTACACTGACGCTGTGTTTCCTCTCCCACGTCATTTAGCCTTCTCTGCTCTCAGTTTCCTCAGCTGTAAAATGTGGGAGTCGACCTAGATGACCTCTGAGATCCCTTTCAGCTTGAGATCTATGATCCCAGGACTTTGGAGAGATCTCCAACAGGGGCCGATCATACTGAGAAAACTTTAGCAAAAGCAAATATGGAGAAAGAACAGGCCAAACTGAAGAGATGAAAAAAGTCAAAGACTAGAAATGATCTTTCCAAGAAAAAGAACATCCGAGTGATGGAGAGGAAGCCAGTATTTTTCTCGGGCTTACATCAAGGACATTTTCCTCTTTCTGCCCCCCTTTCCTTGGTTCTAGTTTCTAGTTTCCTCTTCTTTTTATTCATTCATTCATTCGTTCGTTCGTTCATTTGTTTGTTTGTTTATTTTTAGGCAATTGGGGTTAAGTAATTCCTCCTCTTCTTGCTCCAGATGCCTGACAACCACCACCACCTCCACACCACCTCTGCCACCACCATCATCACCTCCAGCACCAGCACCACCACCAGCACCTCCAGCACCTCCAGCACCACACCATCACCACCTCCACCACCTCCACCACCACCTCCACCACTATATAGCGTTTTAATGTGTTTGCAAAGTGCTGTGATAAATTATTTCATTTGCCCTGAACAACAGCCTTATTACTATTGTCTCCGTTTACGAAGGAGAAAACAGAGGCTGAGAGAAGTTAAATAATTTGCTCAGGTCTACACGGCTAGTGACTGAGACAGAATTTGAATTCATATCTTCCTGACTCCAGGTCCAATGTTCTATCCACTGAGCTCTGCTCTTTTTCCTTCGGTCTGCGGGCTTTGCTACTTGCCACTTACGTGTGTGCTTGGTATATCCCCACGCTCTCAGCCACGGGACACCCGTTTCTCCCCAATGTCTGTTCCCCTCAAACGCTCCCAACTCCCAGCCTAGTGTTGGCTCTCTGTGTGCACGGTCCCGGGCAGACTGGCCATTACAATCGAGCTCTTTCGGAGCCTAGTCTCTTCCGAGGTGAAACGAGGCAACTTTCGGGCCAGGTCGGCAGCTGCCGAGATGCCGGCGTTGCCTCAGTCCACCCGGCCTCCTGGGGTCAACCAGAGAGGTGGGTGGGGCCCCGTGCCAGGTGCCGAGGGATGCCGTCCTGCCATAGGTCGGGGCGTACGGGGGCGGG